TGAGTGGTTCTTGGGGAAACTACAGGGAGGGTGAAGCTATATTTATTTCCCACTCTTGAGTTTCCCATACACATCGGTTGAGCTCCTGTAAGAACAATAATAGAATGCAGAAGAACAGCAGAAATTCCTCCTGCTATGATCTTAACAAGGAGCCCATCTGAGGGAAATGACATCTTGATCCAGTCCTGGACAGACCCTCCAAATCAGACGTATTCCTTCTTCTGTTTTAAGCAAGCAAAGGAATCAGCTGATTTGACTTGCTTGTGTGTTACCTCTGCAAATGTTTTACTTACTGCAATAAGGGATGGAATGGATAACATGCTTCGATCGGTGACAGTCGGATGGTGATGGTCTGTTTGCAGAAAATGATACCCTGTTTCCCTGAAAATAAGAAGGATTTTCCAGCATACTCGTCAAATAAGCCCTACCCTGAAAGTAAGCGCCAGTGAAGTGAAAGCCTGCCCTCCATCCTTGTGCAGCAACCAGAAGAAGAGGACATCGCTGCATTTTAATCCATGTAGATGGTTGTACAGGAAAAAATAAAATAAAAACGACCCCTGAAAATAAGCCCTAATGCAGTTTTTGGAGCAAAGATGAATATAAGACCTTGTCTTATTTTCAGGGAAACATGGTAGCAGATCCCCTTCTGTTGGGAGCTCACAAGTACAGATCCTAGCTAGACCAAATAAAACGACCCCTGAAAGTAAGCCCTAATGCAGTTTTTGGAGCAAAGATGAATATAAGACCTTGTCTTATTTTCAGGGAAACATGGTAGCAGATCCCCTTCTGTTGGGAGCTCACAAGTACAGATCCTAGCTAGACCAAATCGAAACACGGTAGCAGATCCCCTTCTGTTGGGAGGTCACAAGTACAGATCCTAGCTAGACCAAATCAGCTCTTTTCCAAACTTGGTAATATATAGTATAGAGTCTTTGTTAAGAGGAGCTACAGATGAGCCAGTGGGATGGGCAGGGGAAGATTCACCCAGTTTACCCTCTGGTTGTGAAAAACGCACAGCTAGATTTGATCCTGCTCTGAACCGATTAGGGAAGTGGATCCCTCCGGCTCTGTCCAACTCCGGCAATGATCCAGTTCAAGGAGAGGATGCCACCTGGTGCTAGAAAGTGGGCCCTGCATGGTTCATGGCAAACCCACACGGCTGTTCACCATCGCTGGTATTTTTCCAGCAGAGGCATAGGGCAGAATCTTGTCTGTGCCTTCCGCTTGCACGCTGATCTGTTGTGCAAAGGGTCAGGAGGTTTCCAGGATTGTGCAAGGAGACCTCCAGTAAATACCTCCTTGCCCAGAGCGAGAAACTGTCCAGCTACTCAATACAAGGGACTCGTGTGGCCGGATCCAACCATTGTACCACATATAATGGTGAATTATCCAGGGTCTAAAAATCTTTAAAAAAAAAAAAACCTTAAATGAAGCCTTGCCTGTTGTATGCAAAATATATATTGCAGAGGTTAAAGAAGAAAATGGAAGCCCCGAATCTATTCTGCCCTCTATGTTTCCTTGTGAGATCAATTAATACAGTTAGTTGCCTCCTGCCCTCCAAAGTAAATTGGGGGTGCGGAGAGGGGTGTACTCTATCATGTGTAGAAGCAGTATTTAATTGCGATTCAACATGATTTAATGGCCAGGCTGATCAATAATAAGTGTCAATCCATAAAAATGTCCCTTTCGGTAATAAAGTTCATAAATGAGAACTGGCAAGCTGGCTAAAATCAATGATTTAAATGGAGGTTTTCTTCTTGTTGACTGAAATCAGCTTAGACAGGATGTCTGGTTTAAAAGCCCTCCAGAATTGTAAAAGTTCCTTATAATCACATTTTGGACATTCTGCCAGGAAACCACCTTCCACTACCCAAACTGTATTGTGATAAAAGTTGACTGTCAACGCATAGCACGCAGCCCTAGTTAGCAGTGAGCAATTTTGTATTGCTCTCATAGCAGTGAAGCCTCCAACCTTGATCTCATCACTTCTTGTGCCAATTTGGAACATTCACAAACATTCCAGCTTTTCAAAGGATAAAGTTGTAGGAATGTGTCCAGTTTGGTTTGTATGAGAAAAGAAAGGTTTATGAAAGTTATTTTTAATTCTCTCAATGTAGGAATAGCAGGGAGATGAAGGGGCAGAAAGTCTAGGTATAATGCAGCTAAAAAGAAGGAGGTGATTTGAGAGAAGACACAGAACTCAAGCAAGGAAGAGACAATAAAAAGGAAATCTGATAAAACCTCTCTGTTCTGGAGGTCAAAAGGAGCTTGCACTACAGAAGAAATAGAGAGAAATGAATATAAAGCAAGTGGGCTAGTCGGCATTGGGGCTAAAGCTGAAGGACTGGAATAGAAGTGGGCCAAATATATAGATTCAATATATAGAATTAAAATATATATTAAGACCAATCTAAAAACGTGGATGTTTAAGCAGCCCTTGCCTCCAGACAACACATAATCTTTCTCTCTTTATCTATTCTTTGCTGTCTTTGCCATCTTGAAGAATTTGCTTATAGTTTATTGTTTATTGTTTATTGTTTAATGTTTCTGTATATTTTTATTTTTTGTTATATGTATATGTTATTACATTTTACCTGTCTGGAAGCCGCCTAGAGTGGTCGTTTGACTAGATAGGCAGGGTACAAATTGAATGAATGAATGAATGAATGAATGAATGAATGAATGAATGAATGAATGAATGATTGCAGCCTGAGAATTGACTTACAGACCAGAAAAAAACCAAAATGGAACAAAAACGGCCTGTTACAGGATTAATCGGTTTTCAATGCACTGTAGGTCAATGGAGACTTGACCTACAGACTTTTTGACTTGAGAACCGCCTTCCAATACGGATTAAGTTCTCAAGTCAAGATCCCACTGTAGTTTATTCTTTATTGTTCATTGTTTATTGTTTAATGTTTCTGTATATTTTTATTTTTTGTTATATGTATATGTTATTACATTTTACCTGTCTGGAAGCCACCTAGAGTGGTCGTTTGACCAGATAGGCGGGGTACAAATAGAATGAATGAATGAATGAATGAATGAATGAATGAATGAATGAATGAATAATCCAAAGATCGAAGCATGTAGGTTTAAAATGATGCTACAATTAATTTTTTCTCCTAAAACAGAATCAGTTGCCAGTATGCAAACAGCATATCAGCCTGAAGGAAACCCTTTTCAGTACAGATTACTTGACCCCTTTGATGTATGGCAGAAATACTTTATTTATGGGTGGCTGTTTTTCTTCTTCAGTTCGGTGTTGTTTTTAAATACTCCACTCCCAAGCCAACTACACCAGATCACAGAGTGCTGTCCTCTGAAGATGCCGGCCACAGAGACTGGAGAAACATTAGGAAAAAAAACCTTCAGAACATGGCCAAAGAGCCCGAAAAACCCACAACCACCACTTCTGAGCACTCTCTGCCTGGAAAATCCTAGAAAGGGTTGCCATAAATCAGGATTGACTTGATGACACATGATGATGATATCTCCTGGCAGCTATAGTGACATGCAGAGTAGCATATATTTTTTAATTAAATCTGTTTCTTCATAACCAGAAGAACTGATGCCTGATATCTCTAGGATATGAACTACTTTTCATTTTCTGTGGAAAAACAGCTACATTATTTATCTTTATTTGAATAACAATACAACCTTTTATATGTTTTTTCAAAGCCCAAGCTGAAAAGAAAATTAATCAGATACCTTTCAAGATGTAGCTAAAATCTTTGTTCTTGTTTCTGGAATCTAACTACACAGGTTGGAGGTCAAATCTGAATGTCCTATCTTAAAGGTAAAAATGTTGTAATATATTAAATTTATTGAACATTTCCTGTATTGCCATAATTGACTTGACAGCACCTGCAACACACATACAAACTAGTCTCTTAGTGTCACCTGCCAGAGGCCACTGCCTAACAGTAGAGCTGGTTTTGAAATGCCTGTAAGTGCATTTGCCTAAATACGTTTCCCTTCCTTTTTTAATACAGTATTTTAAAATGTATTTTGCTACAACTGGTCTATGGGTCGAGGAAGAAGGATGGATAGACTACGGCTGGAATGCTGTCATTGTCTTTCACAAAAGCTGCAATTTTTAGAGGTGAATTGCTGCAAGTTATGAAATCCACAGGCATTATCTGTTGCTCACTGGGGTCTGTGACTCACCATGTAACAGATCATGGTCTAGGGTGGCTTCTTCACTGGAGGCAGTTCACCTCCAAAAGTTACACCTCTTGCGTAATAAGGCAACAGGATTTCAGCCTATATATTTTAATGGTTGTTGTAGGTTTTTTGGGCTGTTTGGCCACGTTCTGAAGGTTTTTCTTCCTAATGTTTGGCCGTATTCTGTGGCCGGCATCTTCAGAGGACAGCAGTTAGAAATTCTGTCTGTGTTCTGTGCTCTAACTCCTGTCCTCTGAAGATGCCGGCCACAGAACACAGCCAAACAGCCCGAAAAACCTACAACAACCATTAGGTCCCGCCGTGAAAGTCTTTGAGAATACATCATATTTTTTAACTTCCATAAGTTAAACTTGATTTAGGTTTTTAATCACTGCATAGCATTTTCAGATGACCCTTAAGAAAAAAAGGCAGACATTTGAAATGAGAGCTTTTGGATACCAGTTTGTCAAGGAACCTAGTTCCTCCAACATCTTTGTTCTTTCATTCTGCTTCTCCACGCGTGCTTTTTCAGTTACATATGACATACACAGGTACCGGAAACACAATACACCATGGAAGGGACTATATGCCTGGGTGAGTGGATGCACATATGGGTGTTCCCCAGAGCTTAGAATCACATGTCTGAGGGTTCCCCAGACAGCACGGATGGTAATCAGCCTGCCAAGAGAAACCTAAGAAAAATAACATTTGCATGGTCTGGTGTCCTATCAAGTTAGGAACCACAGAACCTCCACCATGATTACACACAAACACACAAAAAGAAGAAGCTTCTCCCATCACTCACATAAAAGAATCAAGTATTTTCACGTTTATTTGTCTTTTGGGGTTGCCACTAAAGTCTCCAGTTTTTGGCTTCTATAGAAATTTCTCCAAAAAAAGAAAAGAAAAAAAAAGAAAAGAAAGAAAAGAAAAATTAAAAAAAGACAGACAAGAAGACGTCATGGGGAGGGGGGGCCCCACAGACCCATCCTCGCTCCCCACTCTTTGCTGCTTTCAGGGGTCTGTGTGGTTGGTGTCCCACCCCACCCTCTGTGTTTCCCATCCCTCATCTCACTCAGATCTCGATCCTGTATGCTCCAGGTTTGCTTCTCCAAGTACGGAATCCAGTGAGGCCCCACGCCATGCCTCGGTCGGCGACTTTAGTGGACCTCTGAGTTCAGCCTCCGTCCCCAAAGCACACTCTGCCCACATCCCCGCCAGTCTCACTGGGCGCACTGGGGATTCTGCAAAGCGATGCACGTCTTCCAGGAGGGATCCCCACCTTCTTCCCCGACACAAAAGTAAGGCCAGCCCATTCACACCCGATATCCCTGCACCCAGACCGGTACATCCTTTTCCTCACTCATAATAGAATCTTCTCTCTCTCTCTCTCTCTCTCTGGACCACTTGTTTGGAGCTACCCCTGCAGGGGCGAAGGCAGAAGGGGAAGAGCACAAGAGGGTCCAGCTGGACTGTGGAAGGACATGGAAGAGCTGGAGGGCTGCAGGTGAAGACAAGGAGAGTGGAGGGGGGCATCTGTGGGGTGGGGGGAATGTTTGTAGGGTAGCTCTTCCCACAAAAGTGGATATCGGTTCTGATCCCTCTCTCTCCTCCCCCACCAACCCCAGTAAGAGGTCCTGGAGTCTGTCTTCCCGTAGTGTCAAGAGACAGGCGCCCGCAGATCCAATGTCCCCATCATGAGGTTTGGGAGGGGTGGCATGTGAGTCTCTCTCCTCCAAGAGGGGGCCATCAGAAAGGGACACACATAAACACACCCCCGCCGCCACCACCACCTTGAATTTCAAGGAGAGTTGTCAACTCCGTGCCAGGGCACTTGAGGGACTGGGGGCTGCCAGGATTTCCACGCACACCCCGAGGGCAAGAGACACTGTGCCAGAGTGGGGAGGGGAGGCGGTGAGGAGTCCTCAAAGGCCTGGATCCCCAAGTCAGGGCATACGCATAGCGTACATGTCTAATAGCAGGCGCCTCCGCAAGAGAGCGAAGGCAGGGCCAAGGTGGGGCAGGGGCAATAAGCAACCGAGAAGGGGGGGCGTCACTCCTGCTCGCTCAGTTCACGGGGGACTCCCCTTCGTGGAGTGCCCTCCTCTGGGGGCGGGGGGCCCCGGGGAGGCGGGGGTGCTCCCCGAAGAGTCTGGATACGCCGGCACTCGTGACAAATGCGGACGTGGGTGCAAGGCCTGGGGGGATCCTCCAGGAGGCGCTGTGGGCCCGGCTCCGACACTAACGTCCCCGAGTAGAGTTTGCCGTTGCTGAGACGCATCTCGCGGACCGAGCGCAACGAGAGGGCCCCTCGGGTGGCGTAGTGGCGCCGGCGCCGGCGGGAGCGGGTCGGCTTGCGGCAAGAAACGGCATGGCGCAGTTCTCGCAGCATCTCCTGGCACACCGAGATCTGTAGGTAGAGTGAGAGGGAAAGACTGGCATGTTAAAAAAAATCTTAACTTGGACTTAACTCAACTTGAACTCAACTCAACTCAAGTTGGACTTAACTCAACTAGAACTCAACTCAACTCAAGTTGGACTTAACTCAACTTGAACTCAAGTCAATTCTTTTTTTCAATGACTCGGACTCCACTCGCGACTCGGAACCCACCCACCCCTCCCCTTTTTTCTGGAGAAAAAAAGCTTGTCTTTCCTACGGACTTGGGGCCAAAGACTCAGAGTCAGGCCCAAAGACTTGCCAACATCCCTGCCCTTCCTCACCTCCTCATGTTCAGCCGAGCGGCGTGTGGCCCATACAAACTCCATGACAGCCACAAAGACTGCAATGATGAGTCCACAGATCAGCACCACAAAGATGCCTCCAATATTCTCCATACCCAGCCCTGTTGAGGGAGAAGAGAAGACATGATGGGCACAGCAGAACCAGAGCATAGGAAAAAAGGTTACTGAGTATTTATAGAAATCTTCTCAAAACCAAAGTTTCCCCACAGGCAAACGAAAGAGAGAAGGATTCACAATGACAGGTGTGGAAATGCAGAAGAGTAATCCAGCTAAACGACGACTAAACGACTAAACGACGAACGACGAATCTAGCTATGATATAGTAGTTGTTCTAATATTCTATAGAGAATGACCATCACTCAACATGAAGAAAAAGTATCAGAAGAAAGTCTAAGGGCTTGAATATACATATTAGCTACTCATAAACCAGAGATGGGTCAGCAAAAATGCAGATGATTAGCAAGAAGAGTTATCTATGTGATAAATACACAGACATACAACCCGTTGGTACAGTTCAGTGAACTGGGAGTTCAAATCCCCACTGCACCTCCTGGGAAAGCTGCCATCAAAGATCAACCAGGACATGCGTGGCTGATGGTTTTTTTTGTGGCCTGCTACCAATGCAGCCTTGAGCAAGACACATGGTTATAAAGTGCCACCAGAAGGACGAACAGGTAAATATCCCTTCTGTCTACCTTATACCTAGAAGACCCTGGGACGTTTGTCATAAGCGTGCATCAACTTGAAGGCACGTAGTTATTATTATTATTATGGACCCTATCATCCAGCGGGACTTTTGTCATAAGCGTCCATCAACTTGAAGGCACCTAATTATTATTATTATGGACCCTATCATCCAGAAAAACCTGTCGCCGCAACAAGAGGCCCTTAATACTGACCGTTAATGAGACACATCTCATATGTGAGGTAGCAGTCTGTTATGGACATTTCAGGATATTGAGCATATAGGTTAGGATGAGGTAAAAGAGGATTTTCTGTGTTCAAGAGGGTATCCAAATAAGAGCATCACCTTACAAGTGGAAAAGTGATGAGGACATGCAGAAAATGAATATATGGCCTTTGTCCTGCATGTCAAAAAAATGTGCTACGTCGAAATTTAAGAAACAGAAATAAAAATTAATTGTTACTAAGAAGCAATAGATTATCAGACTCATTCTGGAAAGAGAAAAAGCCAGAGCAACTTGTAATTTGTGAGGTACATTTCTGATCTAAGAAAGACATAGAAACAGGGTTTTGAAGGCAAATATTACATTTCAAAAATCTGAAAACTTATATCTCAGCTAACAAATCTGGTAAGAATTCGGCAGATAAATAGTTAAAGCGCTATACTTTGATATGTTATGTTTTTCTCTACTGGTAACTTAAACTACCAAGGAGGTTTTATACCTGTATTTTAGAAGCACCTGCTTTGTGTAGTAGTAAAGAAATGAATATATCTAATCTTTTCAGTTTTGAGGTTTTGCTTTTAATAATGATTTCTGTGCTTCGGTAACTTTGATCAGGAGCTAAAAGCTGCCACATGTAAGTGAGGATAGCTCACTTATATAGCACGACCAATTGGGATAAATGCCCTGTCATTGCCAAGCTTAGGCCTGCCTAAGGCAGTTACTTTATCTGAGGTGAACTTACTTGCTAAGTAATTTACCACACTAATTGCCTTGCAATTTACCCCATACCTATATGCAAGATATCCTTAATCTATCCTTAATGTTCCTCACTTACTCCATCATCATCACAAGTCAGTTTCAATGTACTCAACTAGAACTGCACTAAATGTTTGTTAGAAACATTTTCAGTGTGGATACCACATTTGAGGGGATTACAAAATGACCCGCAGGTGAAAAACTGAAACAAAATTAGAATGTTTAAATTCAAATTTAAACAAGGTGATATCCTTGCAGGCTTGGTGTCCCCCCCTTCTTTCTGCCATCCCTTTACTGCAACTTTTCAGCTCTTCTCCCTCAGAAGACATCCTACAGGCTCGCCAGGGTTGCATCTACGAGGCTGTATCGGAAACAGGAAATAGGACTGAGTGACCCAAGCCTACATATTGCTCTTCCTCAGAAGTGGAGGAAAGAGAAGGCATGTATCAGTTTTGGTATCAACTGGACTATTTCCTCGGGGGGGGAAAATCCTTGGGGTTGTCGTTCAGCAAAGCAGCTGGAAAACTCTCTTACAAAACCTAAGGAAATCTACATGACCCTACATTCTCCTGGATTCCCTGTGGAGAAAAAAGGGCTTTTATATCCCTGTTTAAGTTTGTCGAGTAAATCCATCCTGCACAAGACATGCAGACGCTGCAGTGTGTGCGTATAATTGCTACCAGCAACCTTACGCATTGTGAACAAGAATGGACAAAGCTGTAGGCAAGCAGAAACCTCTCCCACACCAAAACCCATTGAAAAACCCACTGTGACAATAAACCACCCAAACTGCTGCTGTCTGCCTATAGTTCAAAAAAACGGCAGCAGCAACCCTACACACATGCGCGTGCGCACACACACACACAAACTGCCATTGTCTGCCTATAGTTCAGAGAAACGGCAGCAGCAACCCTACACACACGCACACACACCCACGCGCACACACACACACAAACAGAGGGGGGGCATGTGAAGAACCCCCCAATCTTGTTTTAATACTTGTTTTAATACTTCTGGGAGGCTTCCGTGAGTCCCAACCTCCTTTAAGCAAAATGTACACAAGTTGCACATCCATTGTCTGCCTATAGTTCAGAGAAACGGCAGCAGCAACCCTACACACACGCACACACACCCACGCGCACACACACACACAAACAGAGGGGGGGCATGTGAAGAACCCCCCAATCTTGTTTTAATACTTGTTTTAATACTTCTGGGAGGCTTCCGTGAGTCCCAACCTCCTTTAAGCAAAATGTACACAAGTTGCACATCTTCTTTTCAAATGAAAACCTTGAGGTAGGGGAAGGTTTGTCAAATTTGCTGCAAGATTTGGTAGTGCGGTGCAACATTTGGTGTGACTTTCAGCACAGCAGCTAGAAGACCGTCCGCTGGGGCTGGATAAGCCACCACCCCCTCCTCCAGGAAAAAAGGGTATTAGACCCCCATTCAAGAGTGTACCAAGAAAAATATGAAAAATAGAAGAAATTTGTGGATTTGGATACGTGGGCCTCAACCCCAATCTGGGGAGCGTTTCCCATTATGGTGACGAGATATTCACGCCACAAAATCAAGTCGTTATTTAATCAGTAAAACCTGACCCATCTCTCTGATCTCTTTCAGGGGGATTTTATTTTTAAAAAAATCAATAAAGTCTGAACAGATGGGGAAAAAAATCTGTTTATGCAAATCAAAAGAGAAGATTCATTTAATTAACTCAGCACATAATATTACATTGCCCTTGGTTGGGAGGGACACTGTCTACCCGCGGCTTTCCTACAGCAGCACCTCATCTTTGCAGCCTCCAATGTCTTCTGCTGCCGGAAGAGGCCACTCTTGCAAAACACATGGCGAATCCTTCCGCCCAGAGACCAAAAACCCAGCCTCGAATTCCTTGAAATCAAAACCTCGCATCCTCGGACCCCCGACAGCTTCAGGGCGTAATCTAAGCCTTTCAGCTATTTTCCAGCCTTATGGTTTCTAAGCCTGCCAGATGTAACTGTATACCCGAAAGGCATAGAGGTTGGTGAGGGACACCAACCTTAAAAGAGAGGATGCCCTTATTTATTTATTATCTTGAGCCTATTGACAATCTTGGGGTGGCGCCACCCCTCATTTCCCACGAATCGCGATCCCTGACCTTTGGCCCGGTGGTCCTCCTCTTTAGGGCACTTGCTTCCCTCCCACCACTTGCGTTTCAGGATCTCCAGACGGTTGTTCTCCTGAAGCTGCAGGATGGCGAGGGTGATCTCATCCCGGAACGGGGAGCCTGGAAGATGTCAGGAAAAAAAAAAAAAGCAAATGTGACACACGGGTGATGAAACATCCATCTCCTTATGGCTGTCTCAATAGCTCGATGGTTTAGGTATCTGGCTGCGGAGCCAGAGGTTGGAGGTTTGATTCCCCCCACTGGTGCTTCCTGGAAGAAGAGCCAGCCTAGATAGCCTTGGGCAAGTTGCACAGTCCCAGGGCGCCCCCTAGAGGGAGGGAATGGCGAAACCACTTCTGTGTATTCTCTTCCTTGGAAACCCTGAAAAGTTTTGCCATATGTCAGAAATTTGACATGGTTATGATTATATTAAGCCACCACTATTCAAACAAGCCACAAAAAGGGACTACCTGGTCTCTGTAGTGTCTATCCAGTAGGCTAGCCAGAACTTACTCAGTCATTTTATAACATTAATTATGTTACAGTTCCAGGCCCTCCCAAAAGCAGGGATTCTTTATTATAGTTATAACTTGTTCAAGCTATAAGAAATCTCATAGCACCTGAAAAGTTTCCCAGAAATTTTTTTGGGGGGGGGTGTATTAACCTCCATGAACTGCACTCCACTACATCACATGCTGTGTGGGTAGCAACTGATAAAACCATTCACGCTAAACAAAATGTCTTAGTCTGTAAGCCATTACGAGATGCTTTCTTATTTTAAGAAGAGGCAGCTGTAGGGTTAGTCTGTGCTAGCATATCAGGCAAAACCAAAAGAAAAATCAAAAAACGAAGAAATCAAAAATGTCGTAGCACCTTAAAAAGTAACTGTGATATATTTTAATGTCAGCTTTGGTGGACAAATCCACTACCCCAGAGATTATTTTTGTTGCAACTATTGCAACTATCCCCTTGCCCCTCGTACAAAACACACTTTCCCATCACCCACAATTCCACTGCCTTGGCACACACAAACAGAGCACAAGGACCGGGATTTTAACCATTCTTCCTCGACATGTTATTTTCCGACCTTCATCAGTCAGTGAGCCCATGCTTCGGTCACCGTAAAAGTAAATGAATGAATGACTCAAGTTATCCCCGGTTAATTCACAGCAGTAATGTAATATAACCTGACTTATTAGCACAGGGCCTAATTGTAAAATAACTGCTACTAAGCTCTGAGATGAGAAATGAAAACAACAACAATAATAATGGTAGAGGTTGCAGCAGCGTTTGTCTTGAGTTTATTCCTCGACATGGCTTCTGTTTTGTCGATGGTCCTGCTCGTGGCGCCCCACGCCGGCTGCTCGCCCGCCTTCTATCAGACTCACCCAGAGGCATGCCGATGCCATAGCCCTTGGTATCCAGGAGCCCCCCAATCTGTGTGAGGTTGCAGTTGAGCCTCCGGTGATATTCGTTCATGGTGCTCTCAAGTAGGAAGGCATATTTTGAGTTCAGCACCCGAGCGATCCCCTCTTCTGTGCTCTTTACAAAAACACTCGGTTGCTTAGAATGCATGTAATTCCACATCCGCTGATACGTCTGGTACCGAGAATTCTAGTTGGAAAAAGAGAAGGACAAGGAACGATTGCAGGAGCTAGCAAACATGTTGCAAGGTGGTACATCCAAGGCTTTTAAAATCGTACTCTACCAGCAAAATGTCATTACAACAAGCAGTTATGCATATTAGCTGTTATACTGGTGTCCTATACCTCCTCCAAATGGCACAGAGGGACATACTCTGCCAGCCTCTGTTTTACCCACACAATAACACTCAGAGTAGGTAAAACTGAGAGAGAGTGGTTGAATCAACTTGACTTCAACAGCCTAGTGGCTGAGCAGGGAATCTAAACTTGAATCTTGTTGATTCTGACGCGCACAGTAACGGCACAGGCAGTGGTATAATGCACAGACCGAGATACGCTGTACAGCAATGGGGCCTTTTTAAACGGACTAAGAAGGCACTGCTATACCCTAATTTTACATACGTGTAAAGGTCTGCACTGCTGTGTATTCCCACACCCTAAAATGCTCCTGTTCAGGCTTCCAAGCCAACAAGGACAGCAGTTGCGTGATCCTTTAAAAGCTGCTAACACAAAACCTTAGTGATGTCGCTGGACTGAAATTCCCTGCCATCATCCGTCACCACTGGCTACAGCTGGTGGGAGTTGAAGTTCAGTAACATCTGGAATTGGGAGGGGCACGCATTTCCCCGGCTCATCTTCAGAATTTTATTGCTCAGTAGTGTGTCTCTGAGGCACGAGGGGACCAGAAGTGGAGGAAGAGGAGAGTTTGAGAAAGGAACACTCAAAACCCTACCCTAGGATTTCAAGTTTGACATATTTCCCCTAATCTTCTCAAGTTTTCCTTTCCAGGAATTGACATCTCAAGGTTCGGTACCTCCCGGACGTTTTATAGATCCTTGTTGGGATATGTTTGTTTTTTAAACCTTCCTCTTTTTTTACGGTTCAAAGGAATATGCTGAGCGAGTCCCCTGAGTATGATTCATCCGCTGGTTTGTTTTCGGATGGTATCATTTTTTCTTTCAAACTGCCAACCATCAGGCTACTGGCATCCAATATCCAAAAGGAATAATATGGGCAACTCGTTATTTTCGGCAGGCAAGAGGCCGTCCCCCAGTGGTGATGGCTTTCCATTCAAAGCCAAACTTCTCAAAAGGCAGCGATAGAACTGGACTCCGAATTCGAAATAAGATTGCGGCATCAAAAGCCGTGCAAGAGGGGCTGCAGGAAACCAGTCTGTGACAAGGACAGTGTTTTTCACGGGAGGGGGCTGTGCGTTCAGCTGGGTGGGTGGGGTGGAAACTGTAAGTCTCTGAAAAAGAGGGAGAGACGGTAGGCTTTTTCTTTCTGCCATCCCGTCTGCCACCTTGTTTGTTGATTGATTTCCCTTCATTAATGGTCTCCTGGAGTAGAAATTGCTGTTACTGTGGTGACAAGTTGCCAGAGCAACCGAGAGCAGGATGGAATGAGAGAGAACACACACACACACACACACAGAAAGGCAACCAGGCCTGAAGAGACCGGTCACTGCCACCTTAGCTACGGTTGCCATGGCAACCTCCAACCTTGACCCCTCTCTCTCTCTCTCTCTCTCTCTCTCTCTCTCTCTCTCCCACATTTACTATGGGGAGGTGTGAAGCACACAATCCAGAGGGAGATGTCAGGCCGGTGCACCTTTTGGCCCTTGAGGGATGCACATTTGGCATCTCTCTTCCCGAGGAACCCCCTTCAGCTCAGGAGCACATCGGAGAAAAAGCCACAGGTCCCAAAAGGGGCCGGCTGGGTCTGGAAGCAGGGAAACAAGCCTCAAACACACACACCTCCTGTGTCACTTCCACACGGGTTCAGGAAAGGGGACGTGTGTGGGGGGGGGGCAGCTTGCCTCTCTTGGGATGTGGAAAAATGGGCACCAGCTAAAATTCCCTCTTCCACCAACATGGAGAGGGACCAGAAACCCATTGCCTATTTCGCTTTTCTCTTGATCCCAATACCTTGTGCCTGGCCCTGGTATCTCCTAGGATAACGTGTTAAAATATGTTTAGTAATTATAACTATAATGAACGAAAATGATTATCCTTCTCATTTGGTTATATTTAGAAGACAAAAGGCACAGGAAACGACTAGGAACAAAGACTTTTGTCTTGGAAGCATCCTTAACCCACCCTGTCCTTATTCCAAATATCCGTATTTTTCGCTCCATAAGACGCACCTTTCCATAAGACGCACCAATTTTTTAGGAGAAGAAAACAGGAAAATATAATCTGTTTTCTTCGCTCCATAAGACGCACAAACTTTCCACCCCCCTGTTTTGTGGGGGAAAAGTGCGTCTTATGGTGCGAAAAATACGGTATGTAAAGGCTGGCAGTTGTTAGTTATGCAGGGATGATGGGAAAGCAATTTCACATGCTCAGAGGCACTCTTGGTTTTACTGTTCATTCTTGTGCTCCAAGACGAAGCCACAGGAATGGAATAAGTCCCATAAGAGCGCTCTCATTAATTAGCCGATTTAGATTTACAGTGCAATCTTAAGCATGACTACTCAGAGTAAGTCCTTTTGCATTCAATTGAGAGTTACTTATTCTCCAATGATTATGAACGGGACTGACCGCAGCCTCAGACTTCTCCATGGAAATCCTTCCTGATTTATTTATTCACCTGTTTGTTAATTTGTCCATCTGTCTGTCATGATTCCTGGAGAATAACATGTGGGAAATGCAGTAACAGGCTTGAAAGTCTGTGTGAGTCAGAGCTGAGCGGAATTTAATGTTCTGGTTTTAAATACATATGAATTGCTCTGCAAATGATAGCGAAGTAGCTCAGAGTCTCGAGAAGGGTCATGGTAGAGATGGCCACGTATCACTGTTTGCCCCTAGCATTAAGTAATTTAAAAGTTATGCTGCCTCTGAATATTTAGGTTTAACGGTAAGATTAACTATGATGAATAATAATTACAACTTCTGAATGCCCTTTAAAAGCTTCACCAAGTTCATATCTACCCTCCAAAAACTATCACTCATATTGTCCCTGAAATGCCTTTTAAAAGGCAGAGCATTATCATCATCCACATACTGCAGATTGGGGGTGGGAGATGAGCTGGAACCTGAGAGACAGTAGTTTGCCAAAAATAAGTTCATGACAAAGATGGAATTTGAACTGAGGATAGTTTGACTACTACAGCCCTAAAGGGACACACACCCCTGATCCCTTCTGTACATTTTTCTAAGGTATAGGGACCCTTCCTTTCAATACTTCTCCCAACCCAAAGTTTTTCACATTCTCAGGAACCTTATGAATGGCCTGTCATTTGCTAACGCTGGAAAAGGAACCCTAAAATCAGCCCCAATTACATTGGTTCCAAAGAAGATAAGAGCCAAGGGACACCCAGCCATTTGGGAGCAGAGTGTGTCTCTCACTTGAAAGAAGGTCATGGTTGACCCGGCGTGGATGGTGCCGTATTCAATGTTGGTTTGGTCAGCCAGGTCATCGGCGGATTCAATGGGCACCTCCATCCGTTGCACAGTGAGGAAGGCAGCAAGGTTGGCTGTGTAGGAGGAGATGATGATCAAGGTGAACGCCCACCTAAAACAACAGGAACAACAACACAAAGGCACAATGAGTGTGCAAAGGTGTGGCAATTTTTCCAGAAGACAAAGCGTGCTTTGAGATTCAAGGCCCTACAGCTCAAAATTAAAACACATTTGTACAGCTCTGCTTCTTTCCCTTAATGGATTTTGCTCTGGTAAAAAAAAGAAAGAAAAAAGGTGGGCCTCAAAGAGGCTACAGATCCCTTGCAAAGATCAATGATTTAGATACTGCAAAGCCAAGATAAGGGAAGCGCCTAGAATCTCTCAAAAAGAAAATAGGTTCATTCCAAAGTGGTTACAGCCATTTTGTACTTCATAAAACTGAGACTCATCCTTGCTTGCAAACCTCTCCTCTCAAACGAGGTATGTGAAGGCTGTTTATTACCGAAGAGGTAGTGGTGAGCGAAAGGAAACTCTGGACATGCTCTGAGGTACCCTCACCATCTTCCATGCTAGTGCATGGAGGCAAATGGACACCTTAGTTTCTGGATCCAATGCCCATTTTAGAAACAAATTCCAGGCCCAGGGAGCAAGAGAACCAAGGTCAAAAATGAAACATTGAAGATCTTTGGATCATGGGCTTTTCTGACTGTTCAGTTTCTCAGACATCAGGAACTCGACAGGGTCTGTTTCCTTGTGAGCAGACGATACAAGAAACGGAAGGTCTGTGTAACATCATCAATCACAGCGACCCAAGTTGAGAAGGGAGCAAGCCAACTCTAACAAGGACGATGCTACTGTTGAAAAGGGAAAGCATACACCAGCAGGTCCATGTGGGGGAAAAAAAGAGGATGTTTCTTTTCTATCAGAGCTGCTAACAACTCACATTTAATTATAATCTCCGAATGGCAGAGCTGGAAGGGACCGTCTGGATCATCCAGTCCAGGAGGCCCAGCGGGGAATCAAAAACCCAACCTTCGGCTCTGCAGCCAGATGCCTAAACCACTGAGCTACCCAGCAGTTCTATAACCTTAGAACTTCTTCCTCCCTTTCTGGCTATATTCCAGAGGCCAGAAAGTTTCGTCCTGCTCCCACTCAAGGAGGTGTATTATATACAGTCACTAAGCAGTCACCAGCCCTCAAAACCCATCAATGCTCATTTCAAGTACTGATGTTCATTTAAATCCTCAACAATGCCTATTAAACAAACACTGTTAGCTCCATATTAGCCTCAAGGGATCATCTCCTGACACTGATACAAGTCAACAGTATTCCTTTCATAGGGCTAAAGCTACATCTTAGTCATGTGTACTTAGGTGAAGCACTCGTTATATTCTTCTTATGAAGAGTGACTTTCAGGAAACACACATTCTGTTTTTATATCTCTGCGGAACAGGGTCTGTAACATCAAGAAAATATGCTAACGAAAACTGGGACTATACAACAATGGATTCATATTTAGCCTAGCGATTGATCCAATATTTTTAGTCTATTAATTATCTGCCCTTGCCCTCAGTTAATGGATTAAATAACGTTGCAAGTCACAGAAACATTGAGTGACTTTCTGAGATATTGAAGGAAATATAGGACAATTTATGATTCAATAAACACAAGTGAGAATTCCCTGTCAGAAGAAAATGCCTCCTTCATTATATTTTTGCCTTCTCTATTAAGAGACATGCCACAATCAAAGCAACCTCCAAAGGAAAAACAAGTGTGCCCTTAATTCATAGTCAACAGATTAAATGTTGCCCTCGCCAATTAAAAAGTCCCCCACCAATTAATCAACGGAAGCTTTAGTACCAATTAAGCTACCAAATTAAGATCCCAGACCTAAGAATTATCCCATGAGAGGAAAAACACTTTCCTAGGAAACAACAACACATTTTTAAAAGGCAGCTCCGTACAAATTTGGACTCAGTCAATAACCATTTCTTTTTGAAGTAGGTAGGAGAAGAGTCTGGGATTCTTCCAGACCTGCCCGATGTCCAGAACTTGAAAAAGTTATCTGTAGATTTCATAGGCCAGGATCCCCCACACCCTTCCTCCCTGTCGTCACTCTTTCTCAAGCCTGAGTGATAAGATGGAGATCTTATTTTTTGCTCACCACACGCCACTGACACAGCGGGTAGAGAGGGCCCGAGGCATGATCTCCGACCCCTGTTGCATGAAGCCCCCGACAGGGAACCAGAGGCTGTTACCAAGCGTATACTGGTTCTCCAAGATGTTGTGCCGTTCCCGGATACAAGGATGAGGGTTGTACCATTCATAGGGACTCAGCCTGCAAGCAGAGGGAGAAAGGCTGATTTACTTTGGAATTGCATCTGTTTAGGCTCACGGGGTGAAGCCAGGTAAAGAGAAAGCAATTAATATGTCCTTGAGTAGGCCAACCCCCCCGCCCAAAAAAAAGAACTGGAGGAGTTGTGGTCTCGCAAAGACGCCTTGGGTCCTTTTTTAAGGAGAAAGGTGGGATGAAAGTCGTTTACATAAAACGAATGATAAATAAATAAGACGAACCAGTTTGTGAAGCCAGGTAAAGAGAAAGCAATTAACATGTCCTTGAGTAGGCAACCCCCCCCCAAAAAAATAAAAGAACTGGAGGAGTCGTGGTCCCGCAAAGACACCTTGGGTCCTTTTTTAAGGAGAAAGGTGGGATGAAACTATTTTAAATAAATAAATTTATGTAACTTGTTTTTAAAAAAGAGAGAGATTGTGTTCACTTCTAACTTTTAAAAAACCACAAAATATCTTGCTGATACTTCTTTTGCTGTTCTCTGAGTGTGTACTGGCATGGTGGCTTTTTTGCATGAGTTCAATCAATCACATTCTAAATTGATGTGAATGGATCTGTTTTTCAAAAAATAGAAGCCCCAGCAGCAGACAGAAAAAAAACCTATGGATTGGGAGGAGCAAAATTCTGGTTCACATTTGCCTTTGCATCATATGGTGAATGGTGAGGGGGAAAAAAGAGAGAGAATCTGCTCACTCCAAACCCACAGGTATTTCCAACATTTTTCCAGTGTTGTTTCACCCAATGTGTGGAATGGACTATTTCTTATACAGGTTTCCTCAAAACAGGACACTGTCCAAAATCTGCAAAACAAGATACATCCTGGTCCCTGGCAGTCCCACCAAATTTTAATCAGGAGGAGGTAAAAACCTTCCTCATAGTTCTAGTGATAAGGAAAGGCAGGGAAGGAGAAATTACGTATTTCAAGTTGTAAGAAACTCATACATAACACATATAAGATGTAATTCTTTGTGTCTCTCTTTCAACACATATTTGCTACAGACACGAGTGTTCTCCTATGCACATTACTGTATCCCTGGGCGCACATGGTCTATGACGGGGAACTATTAACTAGGAGGTGGCAGTGATTTTATCAGCAGGCAATTTCAGATGACTCAGTACACTTCCTCCCACTGTTGGAAGAGGAGTTGATTCAAAATCTGCACAGCTAGGCAAGTATGGATGCAACTGGGGGGAACACTTACTTACCTGGCAGCCAGGAAAAGGACGCAGCTGACAGCAAGATATGCCAGGAGCATGAAAAGCCAAACAGCTGGGGAGAAAGGGTCCAGGAAAGAGAAATATCCTGGTTTGCGGCCCTGTGAAGGAAAAGCACCAGGATACAAGGGATGATATACTGATCCTTCCCCTCTCATTGCTCTCTCTAGCCCTTCCAGAATCACAGCAATGCTCAGCCTAGCCAAATTGGGGACAGACCGTGTAGGCCTAGAGCAAGAGAACTACAGAACAGGGGAAAGTTATTAAAGAGCTGGGAATTACAGTCCAATAACCATTCTCAGTCCCGCAGTTCTCTAGCGAAGAAGAAGAGGAAGAAGAAAGACATAAAGAACTTCTTCTAGGCTCTGAAAAAGTACCACAGCACTCTGATTGAAAGCTGCCCATTAAAGAAGCATGGCGTGTGCTCCTGAAAGCAGAATTAACAGCTTTCACCTTCTAATCACTGAAACGATAGAACTACATAATGAACTTCCTGTACTGGTCCTCTAGCATTTCAAAGGAAGCCAGCTTATTATTCATGGCACTTTTATGACACCAGAATTTTTTAAACTCAGAATACTAACCTCTATTTCTGCAAATTTATTACACGTCTGGATATTTCATCCGTCCTCCCTGGGTTCCACGGAAGGACTATTTGCAAAGCGGCCGAGAATTTATCTTACCCAGGTGCTCAGCAGCACATGGGTGGATCTCCTCCACCCATCTATTCTCACCACAACAACTGTGAGATGCTAAAATTAAGGCTGAGAGATCATGACTGGCCAAATTCACCCAGGTGTTAATATAAACCAACAGGGAGCCCTGCTGCTTGTATTAGCATGACTGCATGACTTGGGTAGACAAAAGCTAAAGTTTTTTTTTTCCCCAGCCTGCTAAAGTTTCCTATTTTTGTTGCTTTCCCGGAGTGAAAAAAGAGGAAAAGGACAGGATGGTCAATCAAACAACTCCAAAGGCTCAATATTCCGCTGCACTCTGCAGAGCTATCTGATTGGAGAAGACAAATTAGAAAGCAGAAGCGTTTGGTTCACTACATATTTCCACTATAAAGCACTGGTTTAACAAGAACGAATTACAGTGGTATTTATTTGTTTGTTTGTTTGTTTGATTGATTGATTTATACCCTGCCCATCTGGTCTATTCGACCACTCTAGGCGGCTTACAACATGACATAAAAACAATAAAACCCAAGAATAGTAAATAAAACATCCAATAGTGGTACCTCACTAAGCGACCACCCTGCTAAACGACGAATCCGCATAATGATAACTTTTTGCGATCGCTATAGCAATTCGCAAAACAGTCATTCCAGTGGGGGATTTTCGCTGGACATCAATTAGGTCCATGCTTCGCGAACCATTTGTTCGCAAAACAATTTTTTCGGCTTCGCAAAATGGCTGCCCTGTGTTTTCCGGACCCTTGCTTCGCAGGGCAGCCATTTTTACAGCTGATCGGCGCATGCAAAATGGCCTCCCTATGGGCGATCTTTGCTGGACGACAAGGTATTTTCCCCATTGGAATGCATTAAATTGGGTTTCAATGCATTCCAACGGGGAAAGGGTTTTCGCATGATGACCATGTCACTAAACAGCGATTTTCACGGGATGGATTATCGTCGTCATGCGCGGCACCACTGTACATACAAGGAGGGCAGACAGTATGTGTCGTGGTTACAGTGCTGCATTGGAGCTTGGAAGATCAATGTTCAAATCCTCATTGAGCCATGGAACTCACTGGCTGAACTTAGACCAGCCATTCTCTCTCTGAGCCTGAGATACCTCACATGTCTATTACAAAGATCAGACATGGAGAGCCCCACGTGCCACTTTAAACTCACTGAGGGAATGGCAGTATATAAATGTAATTAATATATGTTAAAAGCCTACGGTCAGGTCAACACCTCCTGTCTTAACATAGCTACTGTGTTGTATGAAATTGGAGACAACAGGGCTATTTTGCTCCTTCAGATCCCCTCCCATTGGTACCCTCCCAACAGCAGAGGACAACCTATACCTACCATGTGCACACGGTACAAGATACTGATGCCCAAGGTCATGAAAGGCTTGGAGAAGTCGATGACCTTCTCCCGCTCTGCTGTGATGGTGAATGCCGCCACTGCCAAGTCAGCTTTCTGCAGAGCAAATCCCCCACTTGGTCATTCAGAGAACACCACATCCCAACTGCACAACTCCTTATGGCACCCTCTACTGGCTGAAATAGAGAGGTAAGGTAGCCCTGCCTTCTACTGCCACTGCCCGCCATCACCCTTCAACAGGTCAGAGTGAAGAGGCAAGCAATAGCCTGTTGACAAACACTGCACCTTGGTCAAGAGAAAGGAAAAGGGCAGCCTGGTGATGCAGGAAGAGTGGTAAGAGGGGATTTCAAGAACACCTTGCAAACAGAGACTAAATCAAATTTTTAAGAGGAAAAGTGTGGCTGCTAAAGGCAGGAAAGCCAATCTAGCACTACAGAGAGAGAGAGAGAATTTTGCACATTGATTTGAAGTAACCAGACAAATGTGTGACTGCAGGTCTTCTGTCATTCTATATAAAGAATCCTTTGTTCTTGTAGGCGGCTGAAAATTACGATGAGCTTACCCAGTTATTTCTAATCACACGGTTAGAAAGATTAGGAAACCTTGGTCATGTCCTCATATTTCATGTATAAATGAGTCGCATGCAGTGAAAGAATGGCACAATCATGGCTATTAAAATATCAATTTCCCACAGAATCAAGAGTCTTAGTTATCACTCTCTGCATAGAGAGTTCACAACGACAGTGGACCACAGTCCTCTCCATGGTCCATTGTGTGTTTCTGGTGCTTTCTGAATTGTATGGTAACTTTCACAGGACTTCCAAGCCTTTCCTGTAATGGCCCATGCTGGAAGAAGGATCGGGGTCTACATAGACCCTACTGTTCATTCACTAATTCCACAAATAGGGCCGGCTCTACCATCAAGTAGGGACATGGTGGCGCTGCGGGCTAAACCGCAGAAGCCTGTGCTGCAGGGTCAGAAGACCAAGCAGTCGTAAGATCGAATCCACGCAACGGAGGGAGCTCCCGTCGCTTGTCCCAGCTCCCGCCAACCTAGCGGTTCGAAAGCATGCAAAAGCGAGTAGATAAATAGGGACCATACTCTCCTGTAATGGCCCATGCTGGAAGAAGGATCGGGGTCTACATAGACCCTACTGTTCATTCACTAATTCCACAAATAGGGCCGGCTCTACCATTAAGCAGAGTGGAGCATGAGCGTCAGGAGGCAGATTTGGGACATCATGGAAATAGGGCAAACTCTTACCTATTTTGATTGGATTTTTTCCCCATTTTCATTCCCAGTTTACCTACCATTAAGCAAAGTGGAGCATGAGCGTCAGGAAGCAGATTTGGGACGTCATGGAAATGGGGCAAACTCTTACCTATTTTAATTGGATTTTTTCCCCATTTTCATTCCCAGGGAGAGTGGAAAGTGGCAAATGACATGAGCAGCCTTGAGTACTATGTACCTTGATTTACATGGCTTGGTACTGCTATTTACCATTCCAAGGGCAGCAAAAAAATGGGGGGCAACTCCTAAATGAATATTCAGTTGAGCCCAAGACTTAGTCTATACCATTCCTTGGCAAAGAGATGAAGCGGTATAATCCTAGAGCAGTAAGAGAAAATTGTACCCTTTTAGAGTCCAGAATGTATTTCTGATTGCTCTCTAGGAGGAAAAAAAATCTAAATCCGTACACCATGTGGTGCTAGTTTTCTACATGGAAAGAAAAGAAGCCTTCAAAAAAAAACCTGATCCTCCCTCCACCTGCTACAAGAAGTGTACAGTCTACTCTCATAGCCCATAAGCAGTTTCTGTTACATGTGAGGTCTTCAACAGGACAGAAGAACAAAAAAAGAAGAAATAGCACCAGGACTTGAGATTTCAGAGAAACACAGCCTCCAAAAGGGCTGTAGGTTAAATCAAAGGCAAGGGAAGGGAATTCTGCCCATGTCTGAAGGCACTTCTCCTCTTCCAAGAGCCCTAAGGTTTTGTGGTTCCAGGATCTAAAGCTTGCTACCAGAAGCGTTCCCAAAGCACAACATCATGATTAAGTCGTGCCAGAGGCTATAGGGTTTTCTTCGGGAAATGAGGCATAGGGAGATCCCACAGGGTGGGGAATGGGGGGTTTTCTTCAAGAAAAGGGAACGGATGAATCCAGGATGAAGCGCTTCGAGGAACCCACAGCCTTTAAAATCAGAAGACCCCGAAGGGAGAAACTACCAGCGGCCATACCCTATTGATGAGTTCTCCCACCATCCCTGTCCAAGACCCGTTGGGTTCAGGCGCTCCATACAAGCCGTCCTCCACCAGCTTAATCTGGAAGCGGAATTTAAGGATGTCAGCAAGCTCATGGAGCATGTCCACGCAGAAGCCCTCATACTGCTCTGTGCCAGACAACTCCTGGAAGTTTGCACGGCGCATCACGTAGGGGTTCTCCTGTAGAAAAGGATGAGGAGTCAACGTGTTAATACTGCATGTGCAGAATCGGGGGGGAAATACAAGGCCTGCAGTACAAAAAGTAACTTTTCTAAGCTCTTTGCAGTGATATTTTTCTGTCTAGCATGAACAGGAGAACTCAGTTCCAAGATTATGCAAGGTCAACCCCCTTAAGCCAAAACACCTCTGCAGGATTATGCCTGCAGGAATTCACCTCGAATGAAGAATAAGCTTTAAAGTTACAGAAACAGTCTACGGCGGTGGTCCACAACCTTGGCCTCCAGATGTTCTTGGACTTCAGCTCCCAGAAATCCTGGCCAGCAGAGGTGGTGGTGAAGGCTTCTGGGACTTGTAGTCCAAGAACATCTGGAGGCCCAAGGTTGGGGACCACTGGTCTACGGGGTCTAAACCTGAAAACCTTAATGGCGAATGGACTGTTTTCAGCTTGACAGCTATCAATGCTGCAAGGCCATCTTAACAACCATGTAAAAGAGGGAATTTCAGCAGGGCTCCTATTTCTAAAATTTTGGATGATAAGTTCACTTGCTAAATTTTCTAAAGATGATGCCAAGGTGCATAAGCAAGAGGAGAAGACAGCACTCGTGTCTTTCTGACAGCTTCCAAAGAACAATGGACTAGATCAGCTCAGTTTAGCTGAACGAGGCTCTTGTTAGCCCACTCTGGCTTTGGATGTTGCCACTCTTCAGTGGTTCCCAACCTTGTGTCTCCAGATGTTCTTGGACTACAACTCCCAGAAATCCTGTCCAAATAGGTAGCAGTGAAAGCTTCTGCAAGTTTTAGGCTAAGAAAACCTGGGGACCCGAGGTTGGTGGGAACCGCCGCTCTAACGGCATGCACGCTCCCTGACTAAAGGCATCTACAAGTTTCTCGCCCTGAATTACACTTTTAAAAGGCAGGAGGAAACCACCAGCTGTTTCACTGAAGAATGGCGAAGCAAATCCCCATCCGGGGCAGGAGTCATAGTTACCAAGATCGTAGTGACGATCAGGGTCTTGTTGATGAGGCTCTCGGAGACGTTGATATCCAACGTCGTGGCGTTCATAGCCAGAGTCCTGTTGGAGTACCATACCCCAATCTGTAGAGGGGAGAGAATGGGGTAGAAAGTGTCACTAGGCTAATTGCGTGGATGTGTGTGTAAGGGGGGGGGGAAGGTAAACAGAAACTCCAGATTTTGGAAGGAATTGGGTCCCTACCCAGATGAGCCAAGGAAAGCACAAGCCAGATGATTCAGAGGTCCTACTGGCTAGCAGAAAGGCCAACCTGGCATAGAAAGTGCAGGACCGCTTCCTGGGAGGCCAGGTGATGCTGGCAGCCAAGAGGATACTTTCACTCCGAGTACAAACGGATGGAGAAATCTGGACCAATCCAAGCCACGTTGAAAAGGCTCTTACCCTCGACATGAACTATTTTAGCTCACATTTGAGGGATCCTTCCATTCCTATGATGGGATGTTTCTTCTCCCATGAGAAGGACTCAGGCAGCACTTCAGATTGCTCCCATTTCTCCCCCTTTGGATTCACGATGCTTCCTTCCCCACCCTGTTTTCTGAGCCTTTCATTCCATGGGCCACAGCAACGTCTCTTTTAGATTGAATAATTTAGCAACTCTCTGAAAGGTGAGATCTTCTAACACAGGCAACTGAGGATGCCTCAAATAAGCAGAAGCAGGAAAGGTGCCATTCTCCAGATTTGACTTAAAGAGCAGCTTTTGGCTTTGCTGGTAGAGGTTGCTGGGAGCTCCCCACCCCACCCCACTGCCTGGGGGTGCCCTTTGCCCACCTCTGGCAGAACAGAGATGTGCAGATTTCTCAGGCTCATGATTTAAGCCTTCCTTGTTTTGGCGGCTGAGAAAGGAGGGCAAGATTGGCGACAGCTTGCCTCTTACCTCCCGGTGTCCGTGACGGGCTTTCTCCAAGATTCTCAATGTATAATTGGTTCTCTGGCCCTTGCTGTTGAACTCCACGCGCCCCGTCAGCCCATCATACTCTACCTGGCCAGGGATGGAGGGACAGGGATGGGGTGGGCAGGCAGAGAGAGAGAAACAGGAGGAGAGTGAAAAAGGATCAAAACTGTGGTGGCGGCAGCAGGAGGGGACGGCTATAGAATCATCTTAGGATGATTAGTGCTTAGTGCTAGACCTCAGCATTCCCTGAAATTACAGTGGTGCCTCGCACAGCGAGGTTAATCCGTTCCGGATTAACCCTCGCTGTGTGAAAACATCGCTGACCGGGACAGAAAAGCCCATTGGAATGCATTAAACAGTGTTTAATGCGTTCCAAAAGGCTCCTTTACTAACCGTTCAGTGATGTTCCTCTATGACTGGCAGCCATTTTCACGCCCTCCCCTCGCTTAACGAGGGCACGAAAACGCTGCGCGCGGCCATTTCTGATTCGGCGGTTCGTGCCAGTTCGTATAGCGCCCAACTGTTTGGTGCTTCAAAGCCCCACCTCCTCCAGCAAGCGCCCACTCAGAGGCAGCGACCAGAGAGGGGCAGGGAAGCCGGGCCGCCTCCTCCTAGTGGGCAGCTGCTGGAGGAGGTGGGGCTTTGAAGCACCGAACAGTTGGGCTGCTAAACGAGCTGATAAAGCTAAAACCGCAAGTATTCGAGATGGACACGAATCACACCGATTCGGCGGTTTGTGCCAGTTCGGTTAGCAGCGCAACTGGAGGAGGTGGGGCTTTGAAGCACCGAACAGTTGGGCTGCTAAACGAGCTGCACCGAACATCTGTTTAGCTGCTAAACGAACCCACGCATCGTGCCCATCTCCAGTAAGTATACCAATGCTAAGTAGGATGAAACAAATACCAGTCTAAGAAATAGTAAACAAGAGCAATAGCAAAAACACATTCAAAGCAGTAAAACACAACCGTCCATTTAAAAAACCTCACTCTGGCTGCCAGTCATTCAGAGAAACCTTGCCTGAAGAGAAGGGTCTTTGCTTGCTTGCAAAAGGAGAGCCAAGAGGGGGACCAACCTGGCCTCCAGTGGGAGGGAGTTCCAAAGTCTCTGGGAGCAGCCACAGAGAAGGCCCTACCCAAGGTGGCTTACATTATTAAAAGACAACATATAAAGCTAAAACCGCAAGTATTCGAGATGGACACGAATCACACCGATTCGGCGGTTTGTGCCAGTTCGGTTAGCAGCGCAACTGGAGGAGGTGGGGCTTTGAAGCACCGAACATCTGTTCAGCTGCTAAACGAACCCACGCCTCGTGCCCATCTCCAGTAAGTATACCAATGCTAAGTAGGATGAAACAAATACCAGTCTAAGAAACAGTAAACAAGAGCAATAGCAAAAACACATTCAAAGCAGTAAAACACAACCGTCCACTTAAAAAAACCCCACTCTGGCTGCCAGTCACTCAGGGAAAGCTTGCCTGAAGAGAAGGGTCTTTGCTTGCTTGCAAAAGGAGAGCCAAGATGGGGACCAACCTGGCCTCCAGTGGGAGGGAGTTCCAAAGTCTCTGGGAGCAGCCACAGAGAAGGCCCTCTCCCGTGTCCCTACCAAACACACCTGTTAAGCTGGTGGGACTGAGAGAAAGGCCTCTCCTGATGATCTTACCTCCTGAGCCGGCTCCAGCTATTTCCCACTTTCTGAACTCAATGTTCCTGCTTTGGTGCTTTCATGAAGTTTATTTAAATAGCCGTAAGAAATCCCTGAGCCTTCCCAGGACTTTGGTTGTCCCAGAAACCTGGGCATCACAGTTTCTAGAGTTCTGGCTTTAATTTATGGAAAGAGGCCTTTTCTCTCCAGTCTCTGCTTGAGTTTGTAGTGATGTCACGGAATATTAACGAACATTCTAAAGGGCTCTGGGGCAACCTCTGAGTACAAAGGGCCTAATTACAGACAGCACTACACATTGTCACCAGGAATGGGCTCGGAAAGATGAGCAAGCCTCTTGACAGCCATTGCCCAGGCAGCAGAACTGGGGGCGTGATCTAGGATGGGAAGCGAAGACACACACAAATTTGTTTGGCTGCTTTGAAAGGGCTAGGGCATTTCCCTGCCCCCCGCCGCCGCCAATATACCTATGGAAGAAAAGACACCTAAACTCTGGAATCTAAGCAGTAGATCACAGCATCTCTCAAAGTTTCTCTCTGGCCAACCTGCATCCAATTCTTGCATGGATCCTGACTTAAGCCAGGCATGAATCCCATCGGTGCAGGCTTTGATTCTCACCAAGACCTTCTTGGTCGAGTGCAAATCAGTGCCTACGGTAAGAAAGGAAGCTTTCCTATCCGGGGCAAAACCATCAGCTCACCATTCGCAAATAGTTCATGAGACTCGTCCCATGTTGCCAGATGTTCGCCGAAGTGCAGGCCAGGGGTTTGACCCCGATTTCCTGGCTGCGATTCAGCTCCCGCACGGCGCTCACCACCACATGTACGGCATCAAACATCAGGGCCGCTGACAGCTGGAGGGGAACAAATCATTCCACAAACAGCGTTAATCAAGACAGGTGCCAGGGGTGGGTAGAGGCAGCCCTCCCTACTTGCTCAGCGATATTTCAGCCTCCCCAGCTGCCGCCAAACATCTACAGAACACTAGAAGCAAAGGTGGAATGAAGGAATCAGATACTAAATTTCAGACCTATAGCATCGCCTCTGTTTTTCACCAGAGCTTTGAGATTCGTCCACTGGGCACCCCCTATGTACAAATTTGCCCCAGCAATTTCCTAGTAACTAACACTAAATTACTGTAAGCCTCGAAATAACCACTTCCTCTATCACCTATGGTGCAGAACCGTTACCTCCAAGTGATCAGGCAGGAATGATTTTTATCAGGCGAGAGAACAGTTTGATGGGCCTGCTAGCTGTTGACAAGCTACAAATTATTAACACAGATAAAGGACACCGTGCACATTCAGATGCTTGTAAACGCATTTTGAGTATGATAGATGTTCATTCCAGTCAGACTAGAAACAGCACTGGCTCTCTGTAACCTGATTTATCTACCTTTCAGAATCAACAAAAACTTCCTGTTTTCCTCGGGTTTTAACAGGCAGAATTTAAAAGGAAGCGAATCTTGAAAAGCAAGGGGGGGTGTAGGAGGAGGAAGGACTTCAACCCATGTCTGAAGACTCTCCACCCAAAGGGGAGAGGACACTGTTTTCCCCCGGTCAGCCATTTTCAGCCAAGAAGTATAGTTTTTTTAAAAAAGCTGACTCGACTGAAATGGCCTGAAATGAGCAGGACATCAGCCACATGCGCTATGCGGAGACCCATAAGTGGACGGGTCCGTTCAGGGAGGCGAGACGGGGGATCTCAGCCACATAGGGCGGGGATATTCGTATTTGTTTACAAATACAAATATCGCATCTCTAGTCTGCACGAGTAGACTATAGGCTATGAAAACTCATACTCCTGTTTTGTTATGCATACAGAGGGTAATACAGCTGCCTCTTTGAAAATTACTGAAATAAACGGAATTGCCAGGCCTCTGTTAACCAGATGGCAAAATGCGGGGCGAGAGGACCAGAACAGACCCCAGAACAGACCTGTGAATACTCTTTCTGAGTCCTAAAAAAAAAAAATCTGGAAGTTTTTGCAAGTATTTGCAAAGAATGCTCACAAAGACAGAGTGGTAAAGATGGGTACAAACTGCCAATTTGTTTACCATCACAACATGAGTTTGGTGGTTTGGCACCCCACCCCATCTGGTTGGCACCCACTCCAGGGCAGGGCACCAACCTCTGTAAACGAACCAGGATGAACTGCCAAGCCCATATCTGCGCAGTGGCTTGCAAGGTAAACAGAGGCATGTTCTCCACCATTACACATAAGCAGTATGTGGGACTAGAAAAGTAGTTTCAGATACCTGGGGCAAGAAAAAAGAGTTTACTTACCTGTAACTCCAGTTCTTTGAGTGAATCGTCTATGAATTCACACTAATGGGTTAATCTGCGCCTGTGCAGAGATCTCCGGAATATTCTAGAGCTCAAACACGCGTTCGCCAGGACCGCCCCCCTAACACACGTGGTCCGCCCGCCCTGGTGATTGCCTCAGCTCCCAAACAGCCCGCCGCTGTATAAAATAAACAGTCGTGATGTACAGAGGGGAGGACGGGCGGGCAGTGCGAATTCACAGAGGACCACTCGAAGAACCAGAGTTACAGGTAAGTCACTTCTCTTTCTTCTTCGTGGTCTCTGTGAATGCACACTAATGGGTGACTAGCAAGCTTACCTGACAGGAGGAGGGATGTCACGGAAGAACAGAAACCAATACCTCTTGTCCAAAGGCAGCATCCGACTTGGCCCACACATCCAATCGACAGTGGGATGAAAAAGTTGATGGAGTGGACCAAGTAGCAGCCGTGCATATGTCAGGAAGAGGTACGCCTTTCAGAAAGGCAGCAGAATCAGCCACTGCTCTGGTGGAGTGTGTCTTCATGTCAGGAGGCAACAGTTTCTTTGCAAATTCATAAGCAAGATGTATGGTGCGGACAATCCAATGGGAGATAGTTTGGGGGGAAATCTGAGTTCCCCTACGTGGCCGATGCATGGAAACAGTCTCTTAGTCTTGCAGAAAGGTGCCGTTCTTTTCACATAGAATGCTAGGGCTCTCCTGACATCCAAGAGATGGAAGGATCGCTCAAGATCTGTCGATGGCTGTGGGAAGAAGGTAGGTAAGATGATAGGCTGGCGGACATGGAAATCAGACACAACTTTAGGCAGGAAGGAAATATCGGGGTAGAGAATGACTTTGGATGAAATTGCAAGAATGGAGGATCCGCTCACAGAGCTGCGAGCTCGGGTGCTCTACGTGACGATGTGATAGCTACCAAGAATAAAACTTTAAACGAGACAAGCCATTCAGATGAGGTTGCGAGAGGTTCGAAGGGTGGCAGTGTAAGGCGTTGGAGAACGGTATGCAAAGATCATTGACTGAGATGTGGAAATAAGCGTTGCTCAAGTCTATGACAGCGAACCAGTTTCCGCCTTGAAGAAGAGGAAGAATATGTTCTAACGTCACCATGCGGAAACGTCTCTACAGGATAAAGCAGTTCAGATCCCAAAGGTCAAGGATGGGCTGGAGACCTCCGTCTCTTTTGGGGACAAAGAAATAACGGGAGAAGAAGCCCAGGTCGTCATCCTGTGGAATGACTACCAAAATAGAATCCTTAGAGAAGAGTGGTTGAATCTCTTGTTCTAGAGCGTTTGATGATGTGGTTAGGACTACCCTGGAAGGTGGGAGGGGCAAAAACTCTATTGCGTAACCGATGGATATTATAGACAGGACCCACAAATCAGTGGTGATGGACACCCAAGATGGGAAATAGGCTGCTAGGCAAGTGGTGGAGGATAGTGGGATACGAAAAGAGTAGATCTGGGTGATAGGGGAGTCAAAGATTCTGCTTGATTTTCTTATCAGGTCATCGGAAGGACTGTCAAGGACGCTGTCACTATGCGTGCTGTCAATTTTGGTATGAGGAAGATGACTGAGGTAGGTATCTTTGTTTTTCCAGAAAGGATTTGAATTGGTGGAAAGGATACAGATGGCACCATTGATATCTTTGGGGCCTGTAGTATGGCTGAGCGTTGTATGAATGTGCCATCTTTCTCATCTTTTGTAGGTTTTCTAGTATTTCCATTATAAAGGGGTGGGGGGCAGTAGGAAAAAAAACAGGATCAAGTCTCTTAGAAATAAAAATGGGATCAAGTCTCTTACAAATCTGACGGATTAAAAGTCTATTCTTCTATAGAATCAATTTGCTTTGTCGTTTATTTCTCTAGAGAAAAGAACCAAGAAGTGTGAACGTAGAGCTCGTCAAGAGATGAGACGTCAGCGGCGGGCTGTTTGGGAACTGAGGCAATCGCCAGGACGGGCGGACCACGTGCGTTAGGGGGGCGGTCCTGGTGAACACGTGTTTGAGCTCTAGAATATTCCAGAGATCTCTGCACAGGTGCAGATTGACCCATTAGTGTGCATTCACAGAGACCACAAAGAAGAACCTAATTGAGTCACTGACCAAATACTCAGAAAACTCCATTTTTGCAGCTACAGCTCTCAGAATTCAAATTCCCAGGTTTCAGATTCTGCCAGCCACAGTCCAAAACAAATAAAATTTCCAGGAAGAATGCATTACCAACATGTGTTCCTCACATTTTTAATAGCTCCTGCCATA